TATATTTAATCATTAATATTAAAAATATGTAAATAAATATAGAAAATATGTATAAATGTACATACCTACAAATTGAACATGTTTGAGTACATTTACGCATAGTACGCATTATTAATAATATGATAGATATTAAATTGAAATTTAAAAAAATGTAAAAAATGTAAGATACATTTTTAGTGATAAAATTAGTAATAATGTTTAAAAAGGTATAAATAGTGAAACATTTTTTATCATAAATTTATGAAGAGAACATTAAACATTCATGCTAACTACAATATACCACAAATTAAAGCTACCTAAAAGAAATATGCAAAATATTAAATTATAACTAAATTCATTTAAGCTGTAACAAAACAGAATATTTTGTAAATGTAACTATAGTAAAAAAATCATTAAAAACAATAACATTTATGGAAGAAGCAAACATGAAATTACTTATGATTGTATTTAATTAATTGTAAGAAAAATACTTAAAAAGCTTACATGAAAAGATTAAAAAAGGATCAATGTAATACTATTTTATTTATAACTTATACACTATAAAATGCAGCAAACGTCGTAAGTGACGACTTGAATGTGCCGCACATCATGAAATATTTACATATGCTACGGACCGCGGGCGCAAGAGTCGAACAACTATTTCCTGATCCCCTTCGCACAAACCTTGAACGAAAATCGGCAACTTTCGAAGCACGTATACAGAGTACATACGTTCATTGCCTTCTTGCCTACCATACTACGAAAGCAAAGTAGAAGCGTGTTGGATGCAAAGGGGCAACAATTAGCGCGAATCATTTCAGCCGCTCGTTTCATTATTCATAAATTTTGATACTTCATCGTTTTATTGTTTAAAAAAAGCAAATAAATACTAACTTACCGATTTTTAAACTTGACATATTCCTGCATACAAGCTTCAAAATTTTACGTCGTTATACAGCTTGTTTTCCCCCACCTGGGACCGTAGCCATGAACGAGAGCGACTACAGTGTATAGGGGATTGAATCTTTATGGGGAATCGGAACGAGCGAAGAGGGG